CAGAAACACCAGAAACATCACAAACATCACAAACATCAAGCGTCAGACCCTTCTCCACTTCCAGTCTTTCTGTAAACATCCTTTATTAAAATTAGAGTCCACTGCATTTCAAGGTGTGATGATTATACTTTATAACTTGAAAGCAAACCTGAGCAGAAACTTCTTCTGGGGTCAGAGTTGAAGACTAGAAGGCTGTCGTCCTCCCCAGCAAACCTAAAGGCAGGAGGCAGAAGTCCACACCATCAGGAAACAGACTCTGAGCCAGTAGTACCTCTTCCAACCTCACCACATGTTGGTTATGCATGCGTCTGCCTTTAGAGTCACGCTTAGGGCATACATGGTTATAAAAGCTCTGACCGCACAGGAAATGAAACTTCAAACAGCTCACACCTGCTGTGGACGAAGCCGCTCACCTTTGCCTCTGAACCCAGAGATGATTCCAGCGTTTCTCTGGCTGCGCGGTCAGCTTATCTGCAGCCTGCTCATGAGTGAGGAATGGGTGCATGGGTGGGGGATGAGATTCTTTAAGGTTTATTTTAGGGACCTGCACTTGGAGCTTTTTGGCCAGCTGACCTCTCTGCTGACTCTAATGTTTCAAATGGAGTCACCCGAAGCTGCAGCAAAACAGCTGAATCACAGTGACCTGAATATCGGTAGTCCGGACATTTCAGTGTTTACCGATGTTTGTGTTGGTGGATGGGACTTAAGTTAGATAAGAGAATAAAAAAAGGAAAATACTGACAGGCAACCTTTAAAAAACAAGACAGATGAATAGACAGAGAGACAGATGCGTACTTTATTCATTCCACAGTAAATTCAAGGTATCCAATGACAGAATAAGAAGTGAGGCAAAAATATATTAGGACATATAAAATTCTCATTTGGATTTAAGGTTGAAACTAAAGTGTGAGACATTGCACAGTTTAGCACCTGTCGTGTAGTTTTACAATTAGCAGTCAGAGCTGAAAAGGCCAACGAGTGAGTTCTTCGTTCTTCTGTTTTAAAGATATGGGAAGTGAGAGGAAGAGGACGGGGGGGCGAGGAAGACCAAGGATCGCAATCTCTGATTAGGGAAGCTGGAGATCACTGACAATCAGTACAGTTAACTGGCTTTGAGACAGTGAGGTCAGCATTCAACAGACATGTCGGGGATCTGTAAATCATGCTATTGTTGCACATGGATACACAGCCACCCAATCCCAGCAAAGCCGAGCGCTGTCATCGGGTATGCTGGAGTTTGTTTGTCTCTGTAATAATGAGGACAGTCTTATGCATGTAGGTTAGGGTTAGGGTTAGGGTTAGCAGTCTTATGCATGTAGGTCTGGCGTTAGTGAGGTGCAGGCTCGGGTATTTTGGCTGGTGGTCTTCCAGTTCGTCTGGGATGTTGTGGTTGTACTGAAAGTCTTTTGAGACTGCTATCTCGTAATGGTGACCAACGTCCATAGGTTCTGTTGGGTGTGTTGGTAGAGTGGCGAGGTGGACACACACAAAAAGGACTCGTCTGAGACGCTGGCTTCAGGGCAGTAGACGGTGGACGTCGTAGCGCAGGAAGCGGATGAGCCTGACAGGAAGTGGGAGTCCGTCCAGGAGTCTGAGGCGCCGGACTCCGAGCAGACCGCGAATCTTCAGCCGGCAGAACTGCATCAGAGGACGGGGAGCAACTGAACAGAACACAAACAGAATCCTTATTTCTGGGGATACGGGGTCAGGGTCGGGGTTAGGTTTAGAGGGGTCAGGGTTAGGCTTAGTATCCTGTCAGTCTGCTGAAACTACGCAGGGTTAGGGTTAGGGTTAGGATGACGCCCCTCCTCATTACAGCCCCCAGGCCTGCAGCTGCAATGCCAACGTCTGACTCTCTGTGTGTTTTTGTGCCTCACAGGTTTTCAGTTTGATGGGTGTCCAGTCATAGCGGCTCTCCAGGATCTCCAGCAGCCGAGAGCAGAGCCTGACATGACCAACGTAGTCCAGCAGCAGCGAGATGACTGGGACCAGTATCTGAGACGAGCTGGACACAGCCTCGCAGTACTGAAAGGGAAAGCACAGTCACCAGCCCTACCAGCACAGAGTCATATTCATATTCATGCATTTGGCAGACGCTTTTTATCCAAAGCGACTTACAGGGTAGAGAGGAGCTGCATTGGCCGGGAATCGAACCCAGGTCAACTGCTTGGAAGGCAGCTAAGCTAACCACCACTCCACTCTTTCTGCGGACTCACCTGGACGTAGCGGCCTGGTAACAGGTCTCTGCCCCCCGGCCTTTCGTCGGCTGGATGGCGGGAGGCGGGGGCTGGGTGCGGGTTCGGGCCGTAGGGGCAGCTGAAGCAGGCCTGGGCGTCACAGCCGTGGTCCAGCAGCAGCTTCAGCATGGGCAGGCACTCCATGTTGAGCAGAATGGCTGCGGGGAACACGCAGGGCTGCGTGGATATCTGCGCGTTGACGTCGGCGCCGTGCCTCACCAGCAGCGCGGCCATCTCCACCCAGCCGCGCCGCACCGCGATCAGCAGCGCGTTGAAGGTGTCCAGGTTGGGGTCGGCTCCCGCCTCCAGCAGCAGTTCGGCCATGTCCATGTTCCCGTTGTAGACGCAGAAGTAGAGGGCCGTGCTGCGCCGGTCCTCGTACATTTTGGAGCGTTCGGTCGACAGCCGGGCGTTCACGTCAAAACCAGACTCAATCAGCATTTCCATCATTTCGTGGCGGTTCCGCTCAGCGGCGATGTGCAGGGGGCTGATGCCACACCTGCGGACGCGGATCTGGCTGGTGACCGGGATGAGCAGCGACATGACGCTGGAAACAGAGTTCAGCAGTTAGCACGTCCTTCTGTCTGCCTGCCTAGGGTTAGGGTTAGGCGGCTGATTGTTCAACAGGGGGCTACATTCTACACAGCTGGGAGACTTAGTCTTGCTCATCTTAAATTATGTATACACCATTTTCTCAGGCTCCAAACTCAACACTGACACTTTGACTCTCCTCTTAGACTAGCTGAGATCAAACAAATCCACACTAAACTCTAAATAAGAGAAGAATCTAATCTACCTGATTCACAGCAGTTCTGAGAGGCCATAAGAGCCCGTCCACATTCTTTTAGACCTCAACCCTGAGGGTGCGGGGGTCAGGGGTAGTCCTCGGGCTAACCCTGAGCCTGAGCCTGAGGCTGTAGGGGTCAGGGGTAGTCCTCAGGCTAACCCTGAGCCTGAGCCTGAGGCTGCAGGGTTAGGGGTAGTCCTCGGGCTAACCCTGAGCCTGAGTCTGAGGCTGTAGGGGTTAGGGGTCAGGGGTAGTCCTCGGGCAAACCCTGAGCCTGAGCCTGAGGCTGTAGGGGTTAGCATCCTAAGCTGTGGTCGATGTATGCTGAAGACGGAAGCAGTAACCAGATGAAACTCAACTAGAGGCCCGTTTCATGTCTTACATAACATACACAAGCTCTTGCATGGATGATGGTGTCAGGTTGTTTAAGCCTGCATGCTGTCATGAAATCCTGAAACCTCCGAACTTCGCACGTAAAGTTGAGGGTTCGGACCTTGTGTGGTTGTTTTTGACCGCTATGTGCAGAGGCAGCAGGCCGGACTCGGTGGCTCGGTTGGCGTCGGCTTTCAGAGAGAGCAGCTCCTGCACGGCGGAAACGTGCCCGTTCTTACTGCTTTCATACAGCGGTGTGGCTCCGTCTCCGGCCGGTGCATTTATATCTGCCCCTGGAAAACAGAAGCAGAAACATGTAGCTACTGAGTGGAGAACGGGCCTCGGCCCGGCGGCGGACCTCGGCCCGGCGGCGGACCTCTCTGAGCTAGCAGGCGCAGAACTTCTGCGCTCCCATGCTGCGCGGCGGTGAAGAAGGGCTGGATGCTGTAGACGTTGGGAGCCCTGAGATCTGCCCCGGCCTCCAGCAGCATCCTGCAGAGCGCCACGCTGCCGTATCGGCAGGCCTCGTGCAGGGCGGTTCCCCCCTGGTTACAGGCGCGGTTCACCTGGGCGCCAGCCCGCAGCAGCAGGCTCACCACGTCTTCACTGGGACACTCACAGGCTGCAGAAACAGAGCAGCCATCAGCCCTGTGGGCTCCGGCCGGCTTTACCGGGACGTCACCTGTCCTGTGATGTCACAGCTCACCTGCGTACAGCGGCGTTTCTCTGGCCGTGTTGGCGATGTGCACGTTAGCGCCATGACTCAGCAGGAATTCCACACAGGACACATTTCCTCGAAAAGCAGCGAGCAGCAGAGGGGTTTCGTTCCTCCGGGTGCATTTGTTCACTGATCCGGGGTCAGCTGCAAACACACTGAGGTCAGAGGCTTCCCTCTCCCTGAAGGAGCAGTTCCCATCCTCAGAGAAAGCAAACTGTCAACCAAATTCAGGGTCTGCTCGGTAGCTGGAAGCTTCAGGGGTCATGATGAGCCGGGGGCGGTATTTAATGTGTCTGATCATTTGAAGTAACTGCTTCTCAATATTAAAACACCAACTATGAGTAACTTTAGTTTCTTTTAAAAGCTGCAAATCAGTTCTGAAATATTGATATTTGATAGATGTTTTCAATCTGTGTTAGCAAGTGTTCTGATGGAGCAGGAAATAAGGTTAAACTGACATCCAGCAACCACTTGAACTGACCTTAAAGCTCTACAGTAACGTGGCACCTCTGTTTAAAAGCGGAACAATGACAGTAATGGACGTGCCATCGGAGGGCAACTCCCGGCATTTAGACCCAATTCACTCTTAAAGATTCTGAAAACATCTGCAACCGGAGACCCCGACAGGAACAAAGTCAGGGATGTTCGGGAGGACTCAGAAAAGCAAAAAGAAGGTCTTCGTCTGGACAGCATCTTCCACTACGGTGTTGCTCAGCTCACTTTTGTTCTCCCTCTGTTTGGGATTTATTTGCTTTCTGGTTTGATTATCCAAACCAGTGTTCTATATTCTGTAACTTTGGTTATTCCTGTATCCTGATTAGTTAAACTGCCTGTGGGACTGAGTGGACATGGTGGTCTTCCCCTCTCCTCTCTGTGTCTCTGTGATGGACTGACCTGTTGAAGGGGTACTGCTTCTCGCCCAATGACAGCCGGGATGGGCTCCAGACCCATGGCAACTTGGAATAAGTGGCTGTACAGGAAGGTTGGCAGTTTTTTCTTATTTTTGGTTTTCTGGAGTTTCTCATAGATAATAGCACCTTTTTTGTCATGCCAGGAAACACACATAATGAAAACAAGAGAACTCCGACCTGTCCTCTAACCCGTGAGGCGCAGCTGCTTTGCTGAATTTGCTTATTTGACTGCCACAGGAGGCAAAAAATGTTCAGAAGAATCCAGATCCTCAGCTCAGCGCTTCCTGTTCAGGTCAGTCAGGTTGAGTCCAAAAAAAGAGAGTGAGTGTGGCCACGCTGCTGCCTGTAGACCTGTTTGACAGAGACTGGGACAAAAACTGTAAGTTGAATTGGAACAGGGACTGGGACAAAAACTAGGACTGGGACAGAAAAATAAAAATGATGAGTGCATGCAGAGTGAAGCTTCTGTTGTAAAAGGTCTGCTTGGAGGATTCTGGAGGCCCCAACATGGCGGTGATGGTTTACCTGACCCTACAGACCAGCGGTAGGACAGTTAGGAGGACAGGTGTGTTGGACGTTACTGAAAGGTGGGACCTATGAGCATAGGCTGACCGGTGGTGTGTCCATCCTGCCCGA